TTTTTTTTTTTTTTTTTTGCGGTACGCGGGCCTCTCACTGTTGTCGTGGCCTCTCCCGTTGCGGAGCACAGGCTCCGGACGCGCAGGCTTAGCGGCCATGGCTCACGGGCCCAGCCACTCCGCGGCATGTGGGATCTTCCCAGACCGGGGCACAAACCCATGTCCCCTGCATCGGCAGGTGGACTCTCAACCACCGTGCCACCAGGGAAGCCCTGGAGCTTAAACTTTTTTTTGCAATCCTGAACACAACTGAAGAGAGGGAATGAGAGGGTATTTGGTCTTAGCCTTACTGGTGATATATAAAACTTCAGGAAAACATTGTCTTTTGGATTAACTCTTCCAGTACATAAACATACCTAAGAAATCTGTTTCTTCTAGGATATGGAAACCCAAGTCTATTAACTATTGAAAATAGGGGTCATTTAAATATTTTCTCTATTTATGATTTCTAATCAGATGCTAGAAAACACTGGGAGAATACTTTTCTTGCATTATCTTCTCTTTTGTTGTCATAACCTAGTATCTTGTATAGATGATCTCATTTTGTTTTTCTAGGGACTTGGGGATCTGTTTATAAGGCCTCTTCAGACCTTCATCTGGGAGCCTTTTATGGGGCAGGTGGATATCCTACTGGAGCCGTGAGCTGCCTTCAGAGACCATCTTTCCCTTGGAATATGGCAGCTGACTGAAAATGAGATTAACCCTAAAGGCATGTACCACAGATATTTTAACTCTTTGGTGATGTGCCTATTTTGACTCCAATAAGAGGACTGCTCTGCCTGCTAACACAGAGTGGAACTCTGCTGAGAAGAAATGAGGCAGCCATTCATGACACCGCACATCCTTTCCCAAGCAACCTGTTATACAAATGAAACATTTTTCGTACATGGCAAATTCACAAAGGCAGAAGGGAAGAGGTTAGAAGCGTCTGTCTGCATGGTTCCATTGTATGTAATAGGGAGAAAAACTGGTAATAAACATGGTAATGGGCTCATTTTCATAGATTGAGCTCATTAATCTTCTCTAGGGCTGCCTTTAAATCTTGACAAGAAATTTGCCACAAAGAAGTAGAGGCATCGTGATATGAAAAATGTAGTAAATGGAATGCCCTGAAAAGCTGATCCATCTTAAACGTCAAGCTAAGGGTAAGCTAACCTATTTCTTATTACTTCTATGTAATCTTCTCTTTGGTAGCTAGCACACGGTACTTGACATATTTTTCAAGATAGAAAAATAAAGTGACATCTGTTTATAGAGTTCACTGGCAGATCCACACATTGTGGGCTGTTTTGACATTTGGTTTCTAAAAATAGATTTAGGACAAATGTAGACATTCTTTGTCATGGTTAGAGTCATCACAGACTCTAGTAGCCTGCGTGAGCTACTCCTGACACCTGAACACCTATTTTTAGGAGGCCTCAAGGAGTGAGTTGTAGTCGCTGTGGAGATATCTGTGAGGCTCCCAGTAATTCTTAGATGATGGATTCCATTCTGAACATGAACTCTCACAAACAAGATTCAACTTAAAGGACAGAAAACATTTATTCTGACAGCACTACCTTGAACCTTGTTTCACCATTCCAAGATACTGTAATATAACACACCATTGCAAACTTACTAGACTCACATGTATGGTTTGTATAGACTGGGTTCAAAGTGCACCATTCTTCAAAGGGACTAGGAAAGTTACTGACTTTGAACACTAACAGTCAGGTGGCTGTGCATGTACCAGTGTCAGCATACGATAGGAGAGGTCAGATTCTGGGAGGCAGGACAACTCTGAACAGGGATTCAGTCACAATATTTGAGGCTCCAAATTGTTACAGCGTATGACACTGAGTACCTTGTGTAGACATAGACTAGAGATAGTAGGTAGCTGGATAACTTTTTCTGGGATATTTAGAATACTGAATTAAAAACTGGCAGCCCCTTAAAGGAGACAGAGACCTCAATCAAACTCTTAAACAGGATATATATATATATATATATATATATATATATATATATATACACACACACACATATATATGTATATATACATGTATGTCTTTGTGTGTATATATATATATACACACAGTGTACAATATTTTTGTTTAGAAAATATCTGTGTATTTGAAATACATTAAATATCTTCATGCTCATGGAAATCATCTAGGAATAATACATAAATTAACCTACCAAATAAAATCCATATTAATTAGAAATATATGGTTTAATTCAGAGGACAGGATACTGTTAAACAGAAGGATAGTGTTAAACACTTAAGTAATTGAGGGCTCCCCTGGTGGCACAGTGGTTAAGAATCCACCTGCCAGTGCAGGGGATATGGGTTCGAGCCCTGGTCCGGGAAGATCCCACATGCCACAGAACAACTAAGCCTGTGCGCCACAACTACTGAGCCTGCACACCTAGAACCCGTGCTCTGCAACAAGAGAAGCCACTGCAATGAGAAGCCCGCACACCGCAATGAAGAGTAGCCCCCGCTCGCCGCAACTAGAGAAAGCCCACGTGCAGCAAGGAAGACCCAACACAGCCAAAAATAAATAAATAAAAGTAAATAAATTTTAAAAAAGTAACTGAGACAACAGAAGTCTTTATGAAGAAAATATTAAGCAAATAATGTTAATGTTTTTTTCCAAGATAGGATTAGATTCAAATTTCTTGTTTTCGTGGTAGCCTCTAACAAGACTGTCTATAGTTTGATAGTTTCTTCATCATTTTTTTCTATAGTTTGATACTTTACCCTTTTCTCTCTTCACATGTTATCTTGACTAATATCCTTGATGTTGGTGATAAATAAAGACCCTTTGAACATTTTCACTCTGTCTTCTCGATCAGTAGATTTCTTTATTGTGATCTCGTTTTCCAAAGGCCCTGTAAGTTGTCCTGTCATTAAAATGCCTTTTGATTTCTACAGATGACTTATTCTAATTTGAAAATCTTTCTCAACTTCTCAGAAATTCAAGGGTAGACTAAATTGGCAGTAATTGAAGAAAGAAAAATGTGTGGATATTAAACTCTGCTAAAGAAAATCTGGGAGTTAGGGGTGAAGGCAGAACTGGAAATGGGGCAGAGGAAGGGGATAATTCAAACCACTCTGATTAAATTTAGCGTATTGAAACATTTCAACAAAATGAGAATGATCATTCACGCCCTGAGGGAAAATTGCCATTCCATTCTGGATGGAATTCCTATTTTTGAGAACTGCAAATTTGCTAAAGTAGTAGATTCATCCAAAATTAGCTTGTAAAATGCTTGCAATAAGCAACATCTCCAAATCATGGTCAAATGGCATTTTGTACAGATATTTCATGATAAAATATCTTACATAGGTTAAAGTACAATTATGAAAATGTCTTCTAATTCTTCAGGGTTTTATTACCATGTTTTGCAAATTTAATATCATATACTGAGCTGATATAAGCTGAAAATAATATATTTCTAGGCCTGGCAAGGATATCCAGCTTCTGTACTTAAGAACCAAGGGAGGCTGTCCTTAAAAATGTGTGAGATTTTTCACCCTGTGAAACATTGCTAATGCCATGGTTGGTCACCAGCCTCATAACTTATCTCAGCAAGTCAAATGAGAACTATTTATTAAATGACAGTAGTGTGCAAAACCCTGTATGATAATGATTGAATGACACAATATTGGCTTAACAAAAAAGAAAACAATCCTAGTACAGTGGTGACAAAAGAAAGGGGTAACATTGATCTGCACCCTCTCTTTCAGATCCATTGGTGAAGCAAGGTACAAGTTTATAACACAGCCAGTTTGGTGTAGAGGTATAGTGAAAGCAAAGCTTGACCTTTTTCATGGGAACTGAATCCACAACCTTGTTCTCTCTAGTCTTATATTCTACTAGAATATAAGTACAATACAAATGAGTGGTGGTTTTAGAAATCATATTCAAATTTAAACCTTTGATAGAGAAATTAGTATAGTCCTCTCCCCCTCAACAATTATACCTAAGTGGCACACTATTCTTTCATTTGGCAGAATCTGTTGGAAAATTATTTGGGTTGTTTTGACATTTATACAGTTCAAGGTAAATCCCAAACAGGGTTATAAACCACAGGGATTTTCAAACCTACATAGCCCCCTAATCCTTTAAATAGCCCCAACGGGCCTTAGGCCCCCTTGAAGTTAGAATCCAATCTGAGTAATTTGAGAAGTTCTCACTCTGTTCCTGCCTTGAAGAAGATCCAAAAGCAGTGAGTCAGTTCCTCTGGTCTCTGTTGGGATTGAGTCTACTGAGGAAAGGTGCTTTCTAAACAACAATTAGAGCTCCAACAATAAAACTTTGGTTTGTTTTTGCTCCATGGATATGGTGAATTTGGATGCTGTGATGGGTCATAAGGAGACAGTCTTTTTCCCTTCTCCTTGAATTGAGTTGGTCCTGATATATTTTGGTATTAGAATGTGGTAGAAGTGATATTGTGTAATGATACCTCTTGGAATCCTGTAAGAAGCCCAAGCAACATGGAGAGAGACCATGTGGAGGAGAACCCAGGTGCTCAGTCAACAGCCCCCAGCTGAGCTTCCAGAAGCATGTGAGTGAGCCACCTTGGATTCTAGCCCAGTCTGGCCTCTGGAGGAGTGCAGCCCCAGCTGACAGCATGTGGAGCAGAGGAACTGCCTAGCTGAGCCAGTTAACTCACAGTGTCTTTAGGGATAAAATGATGATTGCGGTTATTCTAAATACTAAATTTTGGAGTGCTTTGTTATGTATCGAAATCCATACAGACACGAATACTCTCTCCAAGTTTGCTCTGAGTCCAATGGCACTTATTTGTAAGATGGCTAGTTGGGGGATATCTATATTTTTAAAATAATTTTTTCTTAAATGCAATTGTTTAGAGTGGATAAAAATCAAAGTTGGGCCCATGGTGGAAAAAACTCCATGCATACTTAAGTCACTGGAAAAGGGGTGAAGCCAAATGTTACGAAGACAATGAGTGGTGCTGGGGGAGAGGTGTCTGTGTGGGGGAGAGCTGCACCAGTAACATCTGGTCACTGTAATGGATGGTACACCCTAGGCGATGTTCTTGGACTTCAAAATTCTGCCCAGAGTTTTTGAGTTGTCTTCATTGTTTTATTATTTTCATATTGAATTAGAAGCTCTGTTACATAAATATAATTTTCTTCAGCATCTGCCGATTTTTTTGGACCATAAAATTTAGCAGGAAATTAAAAGCATGAAGATTTGCATGGCATAATGCTGAGTTATGCAAGTTTGAAATAAAACTTTATCTAATTCTATCACAGAAATCTGTGTTTTAGAAGCATAAGGCCTGACAAACTCACATTACTCACATTCACATTTGTGAATGCCACCTCACTCTCCTCCCAAGATGATTCTGTTGCTTACCAGTTTGATGGGCCAGTAGAAAATGCAGTTGCCAAGAGCCTGGGTTAGGTGCCAGCTGCTTTTGGGCTCCTTTGATTTCCATGTCCCTTCTGGAGAGGACAGGTTGCCAAGGAAGTAGCAGGAGTCAGAATTGAGTCAAGGTCAGGAGACAACAGACATGGCATCAGCCCTAGTGGAAATGAGCAGAGTTCACCATGAGATGTAGGCATTAGGAACAGGGCCAAGAATTTGACCAGAACCATTCAGTCTGGTATTGAATTTTAGGGCCCTGAGTTTTCTATTTATCCTATGATGAAGCAGTTAAATTCTGGGAGAAGAAACAGGCTAGAAATTTTATGAGGCTATTTTTGTGCCTACTTGGAAGTAAGAGTAAAAGGCCGGATCTCAATTAAGGGTGCTGGCCTTTGGTGCAGGGCATTGAGCCAAGAGTACTGATGCTAAAGTACTAGGTGAATAAAAAAGGTAATAAAGGGAGGTGTGAGGTGTCAGGCCAAAGAAAGCAGGTAGAGAGCAAGAATGCAACCAGTCATGAAGGGATATCAATAGAGAGACAGAGAGTTCAGGTTTGGGAAGCAGAGCTTAGAAAGATTCCTGGATGCAAACTGATACAAATGGTGGGAGATTTTAAAATGTTATCTGTAGTCAAACCATGTGGGAATGCAGGGAACAACAATAAGCATCGGAAAGATCACTGCATTAAGAATCAAAAGGCCTGTAATGTAAACCTAGTTTAGAAGCTAACTAGCTGAGTGACCTTTAGTAAGTCATTTTGTACCAAGAAATCTATGGCAAAATGAGAGGACTGGTACCATCAAGTAGTTGTAAAACAACTGACTTTGATTATCCACTTACTACTAGAATTCGTGCTGTGCTCCACAGGGACGAGCTTCTGACATGAGCAGGCTATAGATTATGTATTAAAATTCTAAAGAGTCCCATCTTTGTTGTCATTGGAATTTTCCTATATCTAAAATCCCATTTAGCTGTGACACTGTACGCTTATTATTTCTAGTCTTGAACTTAGAAGTCTGCGTTTATTTTCATGGTTGAATTGGCTGTCAACCTTCAGTCTATAGGAAACTGTTAGGAAACCAGCAATCTGTGGTTACCGACATTAGAAATGTGGGAACAACTCTTGTTCTCCCTCTGGACTAAGATTCTTAAGTCTGGGGAAGAACCTGGGCATAGAGTCCGTGAACCATCCTTTAAGAACCAAAATGAGGGAGGGCTGCCATGAGTGTGGGCCAGAGGTGTGGGGTCTACTGAGACCGGGGGATCAGAGTGTACCTCAACTCTGTCTCTTGACACTCAGTGAACGGACTTGCTTGAGGGTGAAGGACTGTGGATCTTTTGCTAAAAGGCAAAAACATCTGTAGGACAGAGGCCCTGATACTCAGAGCTCTTTAGTAGTTCCCTGAGACAGACAGGTAACACAGGGGGCAACTGTTTTATATAGACTAAGAAATATATTGTCTATGTGTTGGCCATCATTTGTCTTCTGAGAGGCAAAAAGTATTCTACTTTTCTCTCCCTAATTCTGCTTGAGGGTGTTCTGGAATGTGTATCATAATGAAATAGTGGAGTCCCAGTTT